TTGTGACGGACGGACAGCTGGACGGACGGACGGACAGACGACGGAGAAGTGATCCCTATATGTCGCCACTATTCCGTAGAGGCGACACAAAAATGAAATGAAATATTATGACATATTCATTTTAATTATAACCTCAAGACACTTCACTCCCCAGACACATCACCCCTCAAATTTTGAAGACACTTCACCCCTCAAGACACTTCACCCCCCATAATCAGTAAGGCACTTCACCCCTCATCTAATTTTTTTCTATAAAGTAAATAAGCCAACAACATAATGCTTTTATTTGTTTATATTAATTATTTTTAGTATTATTTGATAAATAAGTTTTTTATTAGAAAGTATTTTAATTATTTTTAGTATTATTTGATTAACCCTTTACCTCAAATATACGCGAAACAACGCCGTTCCGCCCCCCCCCCCCCCCCTTTTTTTAGGCCTGAAATAGTGAAAAAATGTCCCATTTGGGCCCCAAACACATGTTTTCGTTTGAGAAATGTTGCTTAAAAAAGTGAGCACTTTTTCGGCGCCGCCCGCCATCCAAAAGATATATCAGGGGGTTGCCAGAAGGGGGATGTGCCCCCTTCTGTTTCAGGGGTTTGAAGGGGGGCAGAGTCCCCCTCATCTCCAAGAAAATTTTGGACTTGTGAGAGGCTGAAAATGACCCCAGGTCGATCATAAGGTAACGTGTACCCAACACTGAAAAGCCTTTGACTCTATCTCAATCCCTTGAGAAGTTGCAGCACTTTGAAATAAATTTTGATGGAAAAAATCGAGGCAAAATAGTGATTTTTGGCAATTTGAGATGTCCCCTCATTGCCATGGTAACAGGAAATTTAAGACTGAGCATGTCCTTACAAAGGCAATGGTCCAGTCAACATTTGTGCCAAGTTTGATTAGTATTGAAGCATTTTTCATAGTTTCATAGCAGTTTGAACTTGTAACAGGAGGCTTTTCACTGAAAACGGCCATTTTTCACAATATGCTCATGTGGGAAAGGGTTAATAAGTTTTTAATTAAAGGACAATTTACAGACTTTTCTAGGAGTAAATATTTGCATATACTCATTTGCATACGCAAAGCTAATACTGGGTCAGTGTTCAACACTTTGCCTCTGTCCTTACTGTAGAATAGATGTACAAAATTTTGTCTCATCGAAATCTTTCATAAATTTCAATAAAAGTTTCATTCATCTTGAAAAAGTATCTTGAAATATATGATATTTCCCGCAAACTGGAAGGATGTAAATATAGACTCTGTTTTGAATTAACATTAACAATAACATTCAACAACCTTTTCATCTTTCTAATGTTTTAATAGAAAAATCTTCATAACAATGTCTGTTGAGACAAAAAATACAAGATACACTATCTCAATTTATCCCTACAAAGAAAGTCTATATAACCTTGCAATAAAAAAACCCCTTAAACCCCCAAAACAGACACCAATTTTCAACTGTAGAAGAAACCAACAAGCTAATGCCTTGTGAGAAATATCTAAGCTCTAGCCCTTTCCATTTTGAAGTATAAGAACATTTAAGTTTTTTCTTTTAGTTATCATAGCAACCAAAATTTAGTATGGAATAGAATTCTTTGAACAATCTTGATAGATCTTCATACAAAGAGTATTTCTGCCAAGTTTCATAAACATTGGCCTTGTGGTATCATAGAAGATGTCGTTTACGGATGCCGGAAGCAAATGATGGGCCATCCTAATAGCTCACCTGCACTATGTGCAAGGTGAGCTAAAAAAAAAAAAAAAAACCCTTGTATTATACCTTAGGGTCATTAATTTTTTTTTTTTGTAAGATTTGTAATATTTTCTAAATAACTTATTATACATAACAACCATACATAAACAGAATAAAATTCTGTTATTTTAATCACAAATTATACACTTAGAGCCACAGATACTGAGCAGTGGCTAAGGTCTACTACAGTTGGTACATTTCTATTTACTATTTCAAATAAATATTCAGGAAAAAACAATAGAATGTATTTGGATTTTCTTGTAAAATGCAGCTTTAAAAAAAAAGGATAAAAATACTATATTTGAATTTTCTTGTAAAATGCAGTTTCAAAAAAGAATAAAAGCCGCGTCATGACAAAACCAACATAATGGGTTTGCGACCAGCATGGATCCAGACCAGCCTGCGAATCCGCGCAGTCTGATCAGGATCCATGCTGTTCGCTTACAAACCATATTACAAGTAGAGAAACTGATAGCAAACAGCATGGATCCTGATCAGACTGCGATGTCTGGGTCCATGCTGGTCGCAAATGTATTACGTTGGTTTTGTCATGACGCAGCTCAAATATATCTAATATCTCATCACACTTGCCAACAACTTCCATATATAATTCCCTCGTGGTCTGTTGTTATGACAAACACTAAATACTGTCAACATTATTTTTCATTGTAAGAAGGGCTATCAATAATAGACCATTTCAATTTTAAGAGGAAGTGCTTTTTTCTATTTTTGAACAATATATTCAAATAAAATTCAAATTTATTATATCAAAGATTGGATATATTTTGGATAAATTTTATATACAGCTCATAGGATTTCATGACATTTATGTACAGTTTACTAATGAATGAATTGTCTAAAAATATAAATAACATTTTTCAACCTATAAATTTACAGATATTTAGTGTGAAATTTTCTATATTTAGTTTGATACTAAAACCTGCAGCTTAAACAGATTGATGACTGCCAGATCCATTGAGCTTACAACAAATTTCTCTTCAACAAAAATTGAGAAATGTCTTTTATTAAGTATTATTTATAATACAATTTAACACAATAATATTTTGGTTGGCTTCAGTAACTGTTGTACTAGAATTATTTCATTTTTCCCAATTTTCAGGACACATTTTTCAAGTCCATAAAATATGTTGTAATGGAAAAATGTAAACAAAAATGGATTAAAGGCCCATTATGACTCAGAAATGCATTTACTTTTCTTTCTCAAAAGCTTTTAATTTTGGTGTCCTTTTATAGTATCCAAAAAGTTACTCATAGGCCAATTACCTCAACCATCTTTTTCATCTGTTGCTTTTTAGCAATAAGTACAGATATAAGGCAAATTAGTATTTTGTATGTAAGACAAATTAATGTTTGTTTACATAATTTGCTACTTTTATGACAAATTATTTCACATTTATCGCAACTTTCTACAGGTAACAAGCATCTAAATTCACTAAAACTATTTTTTAATCATTATAAAATACATGTTTGCCCTTTCTAAAGTAAACATTTATTTGTTTCTGAGACATAATGTGCCTTTAAAGTTATTTTAGAACCAATTTCTTGACTCCATATTTGGATAATTCCCTTAAATCAAAAGTTTCTGTATGACAAATTTCTGAAGACATTTTCAGAAAAACTAAAAAATTTTGCAAAGTTTTATGGATATTTAAATTCATAATTGGCAAAATCCAGTTTAAAGCAACACACCTCCAGACTTCAACCTGCAATTTTCATGAAAATTTTAATCATGTATTAAAAATATTGTGTGAAGTGAACACAGAAAATAATTTACACATTGCAAAGGACACTTACAACCCATGTAAATTATTGAAACAGAGGTAAAAAAATGAAAAAAAAATATCGCTTATTGTGTTACTAACGCAGTAAAAATTTGGTGAAAAATACTGTAAAATCAATCATTAATCACACATAATATGGAAATCATTACTTTTATCTTGAAAAATCTCAGTACAATTTTCTCAGGTTTGATTTTCTTGAAATATTTTGGCTCATCTGGAGGCATGCAGCTTTAAAGCCTGGTAATGATAAACTGGCTTGTGAAAATGCCCGATCGGCTTATGACACAAAAAATCATATTTCTAGAAAAATAATAAATATATTTATTTTAAACTTTGTTTGTTTATTGAGAATAATATTTGACATAAACTGAAAGAAAAATATTTGGTTACTGTCACTTTTGTGAGAATTATTTCCCCTTTTTCATGTTTTCATAACACATAATTTTTGAAGTCCTTAAAAAATATGTAACATATGCAAAGTGTAAAACAATATAGGTTAAATAACTACTTTATGCTCTAATTCATTGCGCCAACACCTGTCAGCATACATTTCATTCAGTTTCCAAAGAAAATTTCAAAGTATAATGTTCACTGTAAAAGAACTGTCAAAGTATTTATGCCACAAACAGAATATTAAATCCAAATATATAGAATAAAAGTAGATCTACTGGCACTATTGAGCAAAATGAAGATGTTGGACACATTTCTGTTAAGAATTTTACATTGAAACATATTTTTTAAGGACTTCAAAAATTATGTGTCATATAAACATGAAAAAGGGGAAATAATTCTCACAAAAGTGACAGTAACCAAATATTTTCCTTTCTGTTTATGTCAAATATTATGCTCAATAAACAAACAAAGTTTAAAAGAAATATCTTTATTATTTTTCTAGAAATATGATTTTTTTTATGTCATAAGCCCGATCAGGCATTTTCAGCCTGTTTAAAGCCTGGTAAAGGTGTCGACTGTTGAAAGTAATACATAGTTTACATCTGTTTATGATGACCTTGACATTTTTGTAAACATTGAAAGTCATTCAATTGTAAATTTCCTGATAAAAATATCTCTAAAGTCATCTTATGGATATATCTCTGAATACTGCAACCCTTCTACACTTTTCATAAACAGATTCCATAATTTCATGGACTACAAATATCATGAAATCCTAGACCTGTTCTATGAAGGTATTGCCACCATCTGACCTTATCTTCAAAAAAAAATTTAAAAAAAATCATCCAAGGTCTTGCCCCTGTAACTGTACATAAACAGATAAATAAATGGTTCAGAAAAAAAATGGGATGCGTTCTTATTACACAAAAGCATGTCACAAATTAACGCAATGATATCGTATGATGTCAGAAAAATACTCCGTCACGTTCGTTTCGATAATGGCGGGTACAAGTGGGTGGGGTATGTAAAGCATTTCAATAATTTCAAGTTCTTACCAAAAGTTGGCCTGTCTTCGGGCATCACCGTGAGCCCGAAGACACCTAGGACAGTCCTAATCCCAGACCTGACAACCTCCACAGCCCTCAAACATGCAACTCTTAACCACTCCATCATTCTCGTAAGTTTTGGTAAGTTTTGTTATATCAGTAAGTGTTTTAGTGATATGTGCTGGCGAACATTTGAATTTTCAGTATTTATACGGTCGCACCTCTGGACAAAGTGCCGATTGGTCACTTCTCGTGACGTAAGTATCACGCACGTGCTATTTCACAAACTGGTTAACTACAAAAAGGATACTTTTCAATTTTTATAATATTCCAAAATAAATTCCAACACACAATTTTCAACAAAGCATTCCCGTTTCAACATTACACATGTTTGAAATTTAAGACGCTTTCTACGATAACTTAGTGATTCTCGTGCAAAATACAAATTAGAAATATGTCACATGACTGTCCTTGTTTACATTCTTAATATTGCGCACGTGTGATTGCATGGATTGAGTGGCACTTTTGTTTTATGGTAAGATTTGATGGATAAGGTCAAAAATTAGTATATGTGACAAAAATAATCATAGGGCATTGTTTGTTTGTTTGTTTTGGTTTTTCTGTACTAGTAGTAACCTTTAAATAAAGTTTCTGTTTTGAACAAGTTGAAACGGTCAAATTACTGATATTGAACAAAAGACTAATGTACACTAGAAATCCGACCCTATGTTAGCAAAAAATAAATAAATAAATTATTGTATACGGATAAAGATCTTTGATATTAGTTAGAAAACCGCTAGCTTGAACTTGATCATATTTTAATATAAAAAAACTCATCATTTTTAGAAGCTTTCAAAATATGTTAATAGTGAACAGTGGAATTCATGAACAGAAGACCACTCGGAGACCTGCTTATAGTTTGAAACAAGTGATATAACCATTTCACATTTGATTCTTTCCGTGTGACCCGTGTGACACTCCGTCATTGCCATCTTTATAAAAACATATTAAAAAGTGATCCCTCGAAAGCATTAAAAACATCAAAATAACATGGAAATTGCAGACTCGGTTTGATTGAGTCTGTACATGAAGGATAATAAATATTGCAACATCCCTCACGCCGCCCTAGCACCGGCTGAGCTTTTCTTAATTCTCAACACTGGAATAGTGCTGGAAGGACAAGACAAATTTAACAACACCGAAGTGAAGTACGGGGCTAGTTTTTACGGCTGCCACACAGCACTTGACACGTGCTGTTATGATGCGTAAATATCTGGAACCAAAGTGATCCCTCGGAAGCATTAAAAACAGCAAAATTACATGAAAATTGCAGACTCAACACATAAAAATTAGCTATCGATAATTTTGCACTTTTCTCTTATATATGTAATCGGGTCGAGTGTATTTATCCCGAAGTTTGAATTTTAAAGTCGACCAGTACATACAATAACAGATGTTATATTTCCGTGTCATAATTGTTGTGTTTATGATACTTTAAGTTATTTCTTTAGGCTTGTTTGCTAGGTGGTTCTAGCTAGTATTTCTTACTTGGATACAGATTAATCACCATACGAATATACTGCCTGCTTTTTTCAATTTGTCTTTTGACAGCACATCTTTGATATACAGGATTTATAACCTCTGGAACAAATTCAAATTCCAATCTATTAGTTTCTCCCATTGTTTTTCTTCGTTTAAGACATACACATTCTTTTACTTTCGGACCATATGCCGCTTTTCATGGAATGGCATTAACATGCAATATTGAAGATGCCATGGAAAACGCCTGACAAACACATGTGTTGATGTTTCAAAATTCAAATTTTTTTGATTTCATGTTAAATGTTGAATTTTCTGCTCGGGCGTGGACGATAGCTTGCATTTTCCAGTACAGGCTCAATCAAAGCAAGCCTATAACATTTTTATTTTCCGTTTTGCACGTTCTTTTGCGATTCTATTTCTGTCTATTTTACAGAGTGAACGTCCCATATTTGTATGTTATTAATTATCTATTTTTATGAAGCATATCGACGAACCATATAAATCATGTATATACTTTACTCAAACATATTAGTCACACATAGGACGACCATTTTAAAGACGAATTTAAGTAAAATATCAAAACATTAAAATAATGGTGTTATTGAAATAATTTTGGCTATAACAAATACTATAACAATTAATAAATTTGCATTTCATTTGTATTTGTTTAAAGAGATGACTCAAATTATATGACTTTCCGCTATCCTAAACATTTTGTGATGGTAAATGGGAGATAACCCCTATAACAAATGTGCTTAGTGCGTACACTGGTTATGCTATCTTGATAATGTTTATGTCATGTATGTGTGCAACGTTAACTTTACTGTTTTATGAGCCGCGTCACGACAAAACCAACACAATGGGTTTGCGACCAGGATGGATCCAGACCAGCCTGCGCATCCGCGCAGTCTGATCAGGATCCATGCTGTTCGCTTACAAACTCTATTACAAGTAGAGAAACTGATAGCGAACAGCATGGATCCTGATCAGACTGCGCGGATGCGCAGGCTGGTCTGGATCCATGCTGGTCGCAAACCCATTATGTTGGTTTTGTCGTGACGCGGTTCATATATCATTATGTTGGTTTTGTCATGGCGCGGCTCATATGCTATATATTTATTTGTCAGTTAGTAAGTAATATATATTTGAGTTAGTAAGCTTTATATTTTTGTTAAATTTGTAAATATACTGTTTATTAGATGACGTATAAGTACGCTATGAAACAAATAAAATATTCGAACCTTCTTAGCAAAATATCTGCTTATTTGTATTACAAGATTGACTATAAATTGCATGTGATTTGAAAAGTATGTAAATGTTATGTTTTTGTCTTATGTTACGTTGCGTTACGTTACATTCCGTTATATTATATTTTGTTTGTTATGAACGCACAATTATCATATACAAGTAAAATGGTTTCCTGCGGTGAACATTTTAATGATTTAATTAAATATATTTCATTTAACTATTTTCAACATTATTTGCGGGGTGGGGGGATAAATAAACGTTTGTATCAGGAATATAGTTGACAATTGAATAGAAGAAGGTCTTTGGAAACTGGTGACTGTTGAAGACCGGAGAAGGTCGAACATAAAACAATTACATGTATTTCTTTTTAAGAAAATGATTAAATAGGCCTACCATTTTATGAATAATTCCGAGCAAAAAATAAATAAAGTAAACACACAAGTTTACGCAGAAAATAGCTCTATTTATTATGGCAGATGCCACTACGAATATTTTAATTTTGTATATTTTCAGTATAAACAATTTATTGTTTGTAAAATTTTAGATAAATATTAAAGAAACATTGATAATTTTCAAACACATCATTCAAGTTTTTCCACCTTAAACGGTAAAATAATTATAGAAAATTAGAAATATCAAGCAATAGTTTTTTGTTCTTAATTATGTGTAATTCGGACTAATTCCCTACAGGTAAATCCGTAACGTACCGGCAAACGTTATTTAGCTAGGTTTTCGAAAAGGTCAATTAACCAATCATGTACGGTTTACAGATCACATGCTCCTCCATGTACCGAAAACAGGTCACGTGCTCCTCCATGCCTCAAAAGTTAAACGCGTACCAATACCCTGCGGTCTCCAGACCGCAGGGAATGAGCCGCTTATTGACAAAACCAACATAATGGGTTTGCGACCAGCATGGATCCAGACCAGCCTGCGCATCCGCGCAGTCTGATCAGGATCCATGCTGTTTGCTATCAGTTTCTTTACTTGTTATTGGGGTTGTAAGCGAACAGCATGGATCCTGATCAGACTGCGCGGATGCGCAGACTGGTCTGGATCCATGCTGGTCGCAAACCCATTATGTTGGTTTTGTCGTGACGCGGCTCATATGTATTTTGCTACTGCTACTGCCAACTTCACGTTTTATAAGTTTACTACTGCATCTGCTCACTGCTACTGCTGAATTCCTACAGGTAATGTACTGTATGGATATTTTTGCTATAAAATATATTTAATACATGTACTTATTTGTTTTCAATGCGAATACGAGTTTAAAATGAAACGTTTTATGCAATTGTACTTTTAATGAAGAGAAATAAAATTCTTAATTGGTAAAAATAGTGTCTTAGTGCATATCATTTCCTGAAAATCATTTAAAATAAGTAATTACCAAAATATCTATGTCAGAAGTGGGATTCGAACCCACACTGGGAGAACCCGACTGTGACCTGAACGCAGCGCCTTAGACTGCTCGGCCATCCTGACTTGCATATTAACTTGCATATTGAATATGCTATTGGATATTACATATGCTATACTCAAAGTCTATAATTTTATTCACTTAGTGTACAAAATAAGCATCAAGTCTCTTCAAATATCATGTGCGGAAATATTGCCGGAGACATAGAAGAAAAAAATATATCATATTATCGTTTTTTTTTTAAATTCTTTATCAGAGTAGGTTAACAGTAAACTAGGCTCATTAGGCTTTAGTAGCCCAGTCTGCAAAACCTCGCGGCTAAATCTGGCTTAATTATGTTGACTTACCTTCTTTGAATTTTCAACTTGATTTCCTAACATTTATAATGAACAGTTCCAAAAGTCGCTTCTTGAAATGGTACTTTAAGCTTTAGGTTGAAAAGACCATACAGCACAGACAGTGTTAATATTTTTTATATAAGTTATATGAAAAGATAAATTAAAGAAATTTTGAAAATGATCTTGTGTTTTGTGCGATTCTTTTAAAAAGCGTATAAACGCTTTTCATTTTGCCAGGGTCTTTCTAGTAGAAATACCCTGATTTTGCGCACAAAAAAAACAACAAAAAAAAAACATAAGCAAAAAACACAAAAAACACACAGAAATAGCACTATTTCGCACATTAAGAAATGGCTGAAATAGCAAAGGCTCTTTAAGTGAGCATATAACAGTATATAATTGTAACGTACACTATAATGTCATTTGTACATGTATAAAATGGCCTTCCATTAACTTAAACATCAGGATTTTGCTACAATTTTTATCAAATCCCCATCAGTAAAAGAACTACTTAGCTTACACATGATCCTGTAAAATGGGTGTTTCTTGGGTTGTTAAATATAATATATCTTTATATCTTGAATAAATTCAGCGCATTAATACTTCACTGTCATAAGTCAGGATGGCCGAGCGGTCTAAGGCGCTGCGTTCAGGTCGCAGTCGGGTTCTCCCGGCGTGGGTTCGAATCCCACTTCTGACATAAATTTTGTAAGTGTTACTGATGAAACCTGTGCATCCCAAATGATAAAAACCAACAAGCTAATTAATCATTGCAATTTATGTATTTTGTCGAGGTACATGTTCTGCTTTGCACGACAAATAACTGGTTAA